TTTAACAACGCTGGCAGTAGATGTGACAGTTTTAACAAGATTTGGTGGCAAGGTACACTTGGTTATTTACTGCACAGAGGACAGGGTCGGACAGAGCTGTCAGGGAGAACCTCTCGTTGTGTCACGAGGTTCAGAGAGGACCCCCTGACTTTCTAAACTCCTTCTCAGAGAGAAGTCAGGTGTGGCTGGAGCCAATCCTAGTCCCAGGCTTGGTCAAGGGGTTATGTCTAAAGGATTATATATGTACAATCAATCCTTTTTATCACTTAGCTAAGAATTTCAAAGTTTAGTGTGCTATTAACCACTTTTACCAAGGATCTGTTGCAGCAAGGATTCTCTTAACCTCAAGGAATAATCTTGAGCGGCATCCCAACTCAAGGGGAGATCCTGCCATGCAGCCACTGCCATGCAGGAGAGGTCCAAAGGCTCTTGGGCTGTTCGCTTCTTATGGAGGTAAGATGATTAACTTATTGTCATATTTGCATATTGACCGTAGCACCAGTGGTGTGGTGAGGTGGGCCAATTGCTCAAGTTAGCCTTTGGCTGTTGTGTTGTTACCTGTCTCCCTGAGACCACCTTTGAGCCCACATCACAACAAGATGCATCCATTGTGGCCACCACAGGTGGCTATCACTTGGGCAAGGTTGTGGGAGATAAAGGTCAGGTTGGTGCCTGGGGAGGGGGAGGACACTGTCACGATCTCCAACAGCCATTAGCTGAGTGACAGGGAAGCCACATGAGCAGTACCAGGTACTGATAGGGCTTTGCTGCTGGTGGTGTTTCTGGCCACAGTAGCCACCTGGCTTGGCAGGCAGGATGGTCCCCCTTGTGTGGTTGTAGGATGTCACACTCGGCCAAACTTGTGATCAAGAATAAAAGGTTCTCCCCATTTTTTTTTCCTCACTAAAACCTCATAGATTTTCCCCACCACAAACCTTGCCAAGACTGCAGAGAGCTTGAAGGCCTTTAATCATAGAATCACAAAATTTTTTGGGTTGGAAGGGACCTTAAAGATCATCTAGTTTCAACCCTGCCTTTAACAGCCCTTTGAAAACCCCAGCTAAAGACAGATGTTTCTGCAACTCGGTTGGGTAAAAAGTGCCCCACCTCCTATGGGGGTGACCCAACTGCTCTCTGTCTTAAAACATGGGAGGCACAGTAAGAAAACCCCCACTCTGGTTGAAGGAGACAGCAGGACTGTCCCATCTCATTGCAGTGGTGTTTTACAGAAGGAAGGTGTCCCAGAGAGGACTCTGCAGCGTGAGGCTCCCTGGAACAGCTGGAGTTTTGGGTTTGTGATGAGCACAGGGGGATACTTAAAGGCTCAAAGAGCTGAGGCTCTTTAGCCTCAAGAAGAGAAGATTGAGGGGAGACCTCATCTATGTTTACAGGTTCCTAAAGGGTGGGTTGAAGGAGGATGGAGCCAGACTCTTTTCAGTGGTTTCCAGTGACATGACGGGGGGCAACAGGCACAAGCTGGAACATGGGAAGTTCCACTCAAATATGAGGAAGAACTTCTTTCTGGTGAGGGTGGCAGAGCCCTGGAACAGGCTGCCCAGAGAGGTCATGGAGTCCCCTTCTCTGGAGATTTTTAAGCCCTTTGGAAGGGACCTTAAAGATCATCTAGTTTCAACCCTGCCTTTAACAGCCCTTTGAAAACCCCAGCTAAAGACAGATGTTTCTGCAACTCGGTTGGGTAAAAAGTGCCCCACCTCCTATGGGGGTGACCCAACTGCTCTCTGTCTTAAAACATGGGAGGCACAGTAAGAAAACCCCCACTCTGGTTGAAGGAGACAGCAGGACTGTCCCATCTCATTGCAGTGGTGTTTTACAGAAGGAAGGTGTCCCAGAGAGGTCTCTGCAGCGTGAGGCTCCCTGGAACAGCTGGAGTTTTGGGTTTGTGATGAGCACAGGGGGATACTTAAACGCTCAAAGAGCTGAAGCTCTTTAGCCTCAAGAAGAGAAGATTGAGGGGAGACCTCATCTATGTTTACAGGTTCCTAAAGGGTGGGTTGAAGGAGGATGGAGCCAGACTCTTTTCAGTGGTTTCCAGTGACATGACGGGGGGCAACAGGCACAAGCTGGAACATGGGAAGTTCCACTCAAATATGAGGAAGAACTTCTTTCTGGTGAGGGTGGCAGAGCCCTGGAACAGGCTGCCCAGAGAGGTCATGGAGTCCCCTTCTCTGGAGATTTTTAAGCCCTGGCTGGATGCCGTCCTGAGTGATGTGCTCTGGGCAACCCTGCTTTGGCAGGGGAGTTGGGCTAGATCATCTCTAGAGGTCCCTTCCAACTCTGTCAGATCCGTGAAACCGTGAATGGGTCTGAGCCCTGATGGTGCTTCTGTGCTACTTTGCATGGGGAAGGCATCCAGGTGGGGCTTGGCACTCCTGTGCCATCCGGCCCTACAGGAAAGCTGGGGAGTCTTGGTCAGGGAGGGGAGTCAAGGACAATAGAGAATGGCTTTAAACTGAAAGAGGGGAGATTGAGATGAGATCTGGGGAAGATCTTCTTTGCTGTGAGGGTGGTGAGAGCCTGGTCCAGGTTGCCCAGAGAAGCTGTGGCTGCCCCATCCCTGGAGGGTTTCAAGGCCAGGTTGGATGGGGCTTGGAGCAACCTGGTCTGGTGGGAGGTGTCTCTGTCCAGGGCAGGGGATTGGAACTGGATGACCTTTAAGGTCCTTTCCAACACTAACCATTCTGGGATTTGCAGCCCAATGTGTGACTTGACACTGCCGGTGTGTGGTGGGAAGCAAGGGCTGATAATCCTGCAGTCGAGAATTGCAGCCTTCACACCAAAAAGTGACTTTCTCTGTTTGCAGAAGGTGAAATCTGCAGATGTAGGCTATTAAACAGTACGGTTTTGACAAACAGAATATCCTAGATGCCATGAAAGCTTAAAACAGCTACAGCAGCCCTGTAAAGAGCAAGTAGATGCTGTCCTTGAGCATTTCCTACTTGGTTTTGTGGCTCTGGTGATTGAGAAATTGTTCTCCTAGGTCACAACAAATCCAAAAGCCTCCCAAAACATACTGCCAGATAGGATCCCTCCTTCCCTTTCAGGATTTTCCATCCTTTCCCAAGTTCTCCAGCCCTTGCCTTTGCTGCCTATCCCTGAACGCAGTCCTAGACACACACCATCATGAGAAGAGTCTTTGCAGGGCAGGGCTCTGCGCCCAGGGGGCTGTGGGAGGAGGAACGGGGGCTTAGTGGAAAAGGAGTAAATCTCATTAAGGGTTTTAACATTTACGGCCAGCGAGATAATGAAGGCAGGCAATTTGGGATAGCTTTATTGCAGTTATCATAATGTTTCCCTGAAGCACAAAGATAAAAGTCAGTGGGTAATGTCCATAAGGAGGTTTTATATCTCGCTCTTTTTTTTCTTTTTTTTTAATTTTTAAGCAATAGCCATTGTAGTCAAAGATGAGTGTCATTTTAGTAACACAGAGAAGGCAATTATGTGACACTGAAATCCAAAATTACATGACTTTCCAGGATGGCTGTCATGATCTGTTCTCTGCAATCACTGGCAATCCCCCATCCCCAAAATTAAATTAAATTGTTTTACCATGAGGAGTAGTGCTCTCCCCATCTTTACCTCACCAGGACCTGTATTTGGAGACCTCGTAGCAGATCTTCTCCTCTTCCCCTCCTTTATTTTCTGGCTTTATTTTCTCATTTTTGAAATTACTTGAATTTCTGCAATTCAAGAGGAAGGGTAGATGATGGTCCAGGAATGGGAGAGGCCTAAAATGAGAGAAAACAAGTAACTTTTTATTTTTTCACTCTGCACTAATGAACTTGTGGAACTCACTGCTGCAGGGCATGAGGTTACTGCGCACAACTCAACTAATCACAAAACATGCCCACACTAAACTCAAATGTCTTTAGCTTCTTTACTTAGGATTTATATTAAGAGTGGATTGGTATCCGTAAGACATTTTTTTTGTGGCCCAAAGCTTGTTGTTGGCAACAACTGGAGAATTTTATTTCATCCCCTTGAAACACGGTGCGATTGATGAGCTTTCTATTTCCTCAAAGAAGAATGCTAACAAATCTGTGATTTTTAACACAGTGCTTTGAAGGGCTAAGCAAAAACCATCATCCTGAAGGGTTTGCAGCACTGGTGCCCACTACAGTGATGTCAAAAAGAGCTAAAAATCCACACAATTGAGCAACCATGATGTCCCAATCCTTCCAGACAAAAAAATAGGAAGACCAGGCCAGTGACTAAAATGGCTGACTGGAAGTCAACTCCCTGAAAGGAGGGTGTAGTGAGTAGGAGTTGGTCTCTTCTCCCAAGGAATAGGCGATAGGACAAGAGGAAACAGCCTCAAGTTGCACCAGGGGAGGTTTAGATTGGATGTTAGGAAAAAATTCTTCACTCAAAGGGTTATCAAACATTGGAAGAGGCTGACCAGGGCAGTGGTGGAGTCACCATCCCTGGAGGTAAAGATGGGGAGACATGGTGCTGAAGGACATGGGTTAGTGGTGTTTTTTGTCAGTGTTAGGTTGATGGTTGGACTTGATGATCTGAAAGGTCCTTTCCGACCTAGACAATTCTATCATTCAAAGTCAGGGCCGCAGTCCTTTTTTCTTGTTTCACTGGACAAAGCCGCCATCTTGCACAAGGCCCATTTTGGCCTGGGGCTTTGTGGCTGGACAACAGTGCCTGGGAGATTATTTGCTTGACAGTTACTGCGTTTGCATCCTTCAGCAGCAACATGCAGATGGAGGCGAACACACTTTTCTCCCTGCTGTGGAAGAGAGAAAAGGAGAAGTTGGGGGGACAGGACGTGATGGCAAGGCGTGAGGCGACTGCCCGTGAGGTGGACTACAACTCCCAGCATGCTCTGCGGCCTGGCGGCCCCTACGAGCGAGCCCCGCGCAGAGAACTACAATTCCCATCTTGCACCGCTCTGCCCGCCGGGTTTTTTAATTGGCGCGAATCCCTTTCTTCCGTCTCCATGACAACAGGGGGACAAACAAGATGGCGGCGGCCTGTTCGGAGGGGTGACGGGCGGTGCTCGAGTGCGAAGCGCTCCGCGTCCTCTTCTTACTACAGCCCATGGCGGGGGGCGAGGAGAACAGGGAAGAGGGCGGCCTCGATGAGCTGCTTCCCCCTTCTCATGGCCCTCCGCAGGACCCCTCCCAGGGCGTCCCCGGGGAGCTGCCCCGGGACAGGCCCAACCTGCAGCAGCCACAGCCCGGCCTGCCTCACCAAGAGGACGAGAAGGAGAAGGATGGAGAAGATGAAGAGGAGGAGGAGGCACAGCGCACAGAGGTTCAGCTCACTGCCTCCCAGCTATTTGGGGAGGGTTGTCCTCATGAGGGAAGAGCCCTTTTCCCCCCTCATTGCTCAGTGTAGTTGGGGGGGAGCGGGGAGAAGGGGGAGATGGAGGCATCAGGTAGTGTTTTCTCATTTCCTCAAAGAGAGGAAAGGCTGGCTTGGTTTCTTTCCCCTCACCTCCCTTTTCTGCCTTTCTTTAGGGTCCCTTTCATACCCATGGTGTCCAAGATATATTCTGGATTGTCCCTCTCTCCTTGCTATATAAAGACTAAGGATAAAATGGCATATAGATAGCCAAATTAAACCCATTTCCTGTTTATATGCTCAGCCTTGAGATTCAAAAAGTCTCTGGACCCAAGTGAATTTTTTCTCCCTGCTCTGCAGGGCTCTAAAGTATCCACTGCCACAGCATTATTGCCTCATATTTTCACCTAGTGGAAATGCATCTGTAGTTTCCACTGCTATGACAGGAACGTGCTATAATTTAGATGATTACCATTTGAAACATTATTTATCTTGGTCCCTAGATTAGCAATTGTTGTGTGACTTCTCCAAGCTCATAGGAATTTCACAAACCATTGGCTTATTTTCTCATTAAACCTACACAGTGGTTCATTAGTGCCATCTGTCAAGTACCCTCTTTGGCAAAGACTGTTCTCTGAAGAGCAGCGTGAGCTGCTCATGCTGAACAAATTTAAAGGGCCTCCAATAATGTGCATATTGGGGTACAACACTGGGGTTATGTTAGTGCTGATTTTCTGAGATGTTAACATCCATAATCAGTGTGAGTTTCATGGCTCAACATCTCTGGAAACAGGTCCTGTTTAGAGCTGTGCATTTAAACTATAAGGTGGAAAAAAAAAATCCAAGACAAATATTGTTGAACCTTTTTAAATGTATAGAGCTGGTATGTGACATGTTTCCATGTATTTGTTTTGAGGGCTCTATTCATCATTTTTCCTAATGTGTAGTGCCTTAGTAGGGTGATGGAGCACTGAAAGCAGCGTTTGATTGAAGACTTTTATTAAACTCTGTTCCCAGTTGCATCCCAAGCAGCCCCCGGACGCCACCGAGTGTGGAATTCCGTTTCATAAATCTCCCCTTAATCCATTCCTCTCCCTGCCCTCCCCCTTTCTGGTGTTTTATAGGGTCAGTTTGATGGAGTGTTGGATGAAGACACCGTGGCTGAGGGACTCCACAAGCTGGGGCGCTCAGCCCCTGGTACCGAATACGTTTATCTTAATCTGTCACTTTCGGTAAGTATAAGCAAAGAACATCATTATAAAGTGCTTCTCTGCTCAAAGGTTTCCTCTTTTTAACAGCAAATAGCTGGTCTAGTAAAAAAAAAAAATTTAAAGAGGCAGATTTTGATCTCTACCTGTCAGTGCTATTTCATGTACATGGGACTTCTGACAAGACACAGCATGGCTCCTGCTGGTGACTGTCATATCGGTATGTTTTTCTTCACTTAGTAGCAACAGCAGTAAGATTTTTCCTTACCCAGTCTTCGGGTGTGAAAATGTATCTTCCTGCCTTAGCCACTGGAGTTAAAAATACAGGAATCACAGAAAGATATGGGGTTGGAAAGGACCTCTGGAGATCATCTAGTCCAACCCCCTGCCAGAGCAGGGTCACCCAGAGCAGGTTGCACAGAAATGTGTCCAGGTGGGTTTTGAATGTCTCCAGAGAAGGAGATTCCACCACATCTCTGGGTGTTCCAGGGCTCTGCCACCCTCAAAGGAAAGAAGTTCCCCTCATGTTTAGATGGAACTTCTTATATTCAAGTTTGTGCCCATTTCCTCTTGTCCTGTCACTGGGCACCACCAAAAGAAAGCCTGGCCCCATCGTCCTGACACCCACCCTTGAAGTATTTATAGTTGTCGATCAGCTCCCCCCTCAGTCTTCTCCAGACTAAAAAGACCCAAGTCCCTCAGCCTTTCTTCATCAGAGAGATGTTCTGGGCCCCTCATTGTCTTTGTAGCCCTAAACATGTGAAACACCTGAGAATGCTGCAATCATTGTCCCTTCAGAAATTTAAAATGGTTGTGTCTCTTAAAGATTACTTGCTGCCGCTCCCTTTTCTATGCAGCCCTGTTTCTCTGGCATTTCTCCAGGCTACAGCTCTCTCTCCTGGTTGTGTTTTCAAGTCTTCTTCTGACATTTTCTCCATTCGTGGCTGGGCTGCAGGTCTAACAGTTACTTTCTGTATATGTCATCCTGTCCTGACACATCCAGCTGGAGGGTCCTTGGGACCCCTCTTCGATGTCTCCTGCTGCTGCATATCTCTCAGGGAAGCAAGTGAAGTGACACAGCTACTTATTAAAGTCTCTTTGCTTTATTTTTCCAGGGTCGTGAGTTAAGTGACATTAACATTCTCTCCAGATACGTTCACCTAGAGAAGCTGGAACTTTCATATAATAAAATTAATGGTATGTAGTAAATACACTAGTAAATTCTTGGCTTGTGAAATCATGTAAGATGAGAGATGCACTGTACTGTGGAGCTTTAATATCATGAAGCCTGGCCTACGTTTTAATGGTGTAACTACTCCAGCTCTGCAGAATGAGGGGATGGCTGGATCTTCTTGAGAGTGATGGATGGAGCGTTCAGACATCTGCAGCAGCATATGCTTATCAGTGGGAACGTGGAGATTATCATCCAGTTTATTGTCCAAAGATAAAACGAAAGCAAGCATGTCAATACAAGGTTAAGGTTGAGATTTTTACATGTGCAAATGTCATAATATTTAAAGTTACGTCTGGTACAATTTTCCCAGCCTCGAGCTTTTCTTCCTCAAGGTTTCCCATTGGGGAGAAAATGTAAAAAATTATAATCTGGGTTAAAAAAGGTACCAAATGGAGACTGGGGTAAACTCCATCGTCTTCTACTCCTTCCCTCTCCCTCCTCATTTTTTTTAATTTAACATCAAAAGGCATAAGCTGCCGTGGGCAACCTGTTGCATTATTTCTTTCGACTCCATTTCACTGGAGATGCTGGAGCTCAATAATAGCAGCACTTTTGTAAGGTGGCACTTCTCCCAGCTCATTTTGCTGACAGTTTGTCTGTGAAGGCTGGCTCTGAACAGAGCAGGGACTTTTCCATAGCAACTAGTCATTTTGTCTTCAGCAGCAGCCTAAATACTTTTCTCCACTAATTAATAAGTTAGGGCAGAGGTAGTCTCTCTGTCATTCTAGAGGTAGCTGGAATATAAAACTATATTTTGGTTTATAGAGAAATCAGTTTACATAAAAGAAATTTAATGTAGAACTTGAATATTCTTTGTGTTTTAGAAATCATCTTTTTTCTAGTAGAAGGTGCTGATATGTCTGATTTCTGCATTTCAAACATCACTTTCTGAATGCATAACTACAAATTGATTCTTGATTGCTATTGGACATAATTATCACATTTTGACATGATAGCGTTCAGACATCTGCAGCAGCATATGCTTATCAGTGGGAACGTGGAGATTATCATCCAGTTTATTGTCCAAAGATAAAACGAAAGCAAGCATGTCAATACAAGGTTAAGGTTGAGATTTTTACATGTGCAAATGTCATAATATTTAAAGTTACGTCTGGTACAATTTTCCCAGCCTCGAGCTTTTCTTCCTCAAGGTTTCCCATTGGGGAGAAAATGTAAAAAATTATAATCTGGGTTAAAAAAGGTACCAAATGGAGACTGGGGTAAACTCCATCGTCTTCTACTCCTTCCCTCTCCCTCCTCATTTTTTTTAATTTAAAATCAAAAGGCATAAGCTGCCGTGGGCAACCTGTTGCATTATTTCTTTCGACTCCATTTCACTGGAGATGCTGGAGCTCAATAATAGCAGCACTTTTGTAAGGTGGCACTTCTCCCAGCTCATTTTGCTGACAGTTTGTCTGTGAAGGCTGGCTCTGAACAGAGCAGGGACTTTTCCATAGCAACTAGTCATTTTGTCTTCAGCAGCAGCCTAAATACTTTTCTCCACTAATTAATAAGTTAGGGCAGAGGTAGTCTCTCTGTCATTCTAGAGGTAGCTGGAATATAAAACTATATTTTGGTTTATAGAGAAATCAGTTTACATAAAAGAAATTTAATGTAGAACTTGAATATTCTTTGTGTTTTAGAAATCATCTTTTTTCTAGTAGAAGGTGCTGATATGTCTGATTTCTGCATTTCAAACATCACTTTCTGAATGCAAAACCACAAATTGATTCTTGATTGCTATTGGACATAATTATCACATTTTGACATGATCTCTGCACTTACCTATGCATTGACATACAGTATTTGACATTTTGATTGGACATAATTATCACATTTTGACATGATGATCTCTGCTTTTACCTATGCACTGACGTACAGTATTTGATGTTTTATTTTGTTACTAGATCTTTCGTGTATCAGTCACATGCCTTACCTACTAGAACTGAATGCTTCCAACAATGAATTGACTACATATTTTGCTTTTAAACCGCCTAAAAATCTCAAGGTAAGTTGCAAAAAAATGCATTTTATAGGTTTAAATTCAAAATGGTTTTCTAAATCTAACTGAGACATTGTATTTGGGCATGTGCAAAAGCGAGTTTTTATGCCTTCCTTATTCTTCTTTCTTACATAATTTGATATTTTAATAGCTTTTCCAAATGCTTGTGTATTTTACACTGCACATTTCAGTCTTTTATTTTCTTTTACACACTGAACCCTGGCATGCCACGGGAAGGTATATTGTACAGCCGACTGGAAATATAGCCAGAGTTTTTTTTCCTTGCTTGTTGAATTCATCAGCCCTTTAGTGGGACCAGTTCCTGCCTTTCAGATTGACTGGTGCCAGTTTGTGTGCCTGTTGGATCCCATGTGCCAGCTCTTCCCTTTGCTGGCTTTTTCTTGTCACCCACTTTGGGTTATAAAAAGCAGGAGGTCGTTTCGGAATACGACCTATATGTATTTCTCTGTCTTCCCTGTTAGGTTTAGGTAAGTTGCAAAATTGCATAATTACAGGACCGTTAATGTATAGTTTTGGAAGTTCCCAAATTGTGAGCTCTATGTGTCATAATAATGAGCTTTGTTGTTTACGTCCCAATATTAATATTAATGAGCTTTTTATTTCTTCCACACCCTTGATCGCACATTTAATCTAACAGCTGTTTAGTTTCACGAGACAGCTGTTAAGTGCTGAAGGAAAAAAAAAATTAACTTTCTGTCTTCTTTTTTTTTCTTTAGGAAGTAGATTTTTCCTACAATCAAATACCTAAAATGCAAGATCTGTCAGCGTACCACGCGCTTACTAAACTCTTGCTGGATTGTATCCTTTATGGAAGCTTGAGTGGGAGAAAAGTTGCTTGTTTGCTTTCTGATTTTTTTTTTAATATGTTTGCATAATTACAGGACCGTTAATGTATAGTTTTGGAAGTTCCCAAATTGTGAGCTCTATGTGTCATAATAATGAGCTTTGTTGTTTACGTCCCAATATTAATATTAATGAGCTTTTTATTTCTTCCACACCCTTGATCGCACATTTAATCTAACAGCTGTTTAGTTTCACGAGACAGCTGTTAAGTGCTGAAGGAAAAAAAAAATTAACTTTCTGTCTTCTTTTTTTTTCTTTAGGAAGTAGATTTTTCCTACAATCAAATACCTAAAATGCAAGATCTGTCAGCGTACCACGCGCTTACTAAACTCTTGCTGGATTGTATCCTTTATGGAAGCTTGAGTGGGAGAAAAGTTGCTTGTTTGCTTTCTGAACAGCTGTTTGCTGCAAACAGATACCTGCCTGCTTTGTGTTTTTCCTTTGTGTCATTTTTGTCTTTAGAAGGAAGATTAAACACTGTCATTCTGGCAGTGAAAGTGATCTTAATTTACTTAAGCACGTGTGGTGGTAGAGGTGTTTGTGTGTACATCTAAGGTATTAGCCTCCTGGAGGAACACCAAAAAAAACCTTCAGTTTGCATCATGTAGATCTGAAAAAGTGAGATGTCGCACCGTCTTTGCGTGGTGGAGGTAAGGTATTAGCCTCCTGGAGGAACACCAAAAAAACCTTCAGTTTGCATCATGTAAATCTGAAAAAGTGAGATGTCACACCGTCTTTGCGTGGTGGAGGTAATAAATAACCCCAGTATTTTTCTATAAGAAAGGTTAATAGGAAATCCCCTTGGAACACTAAGCTCCCTTAAATGAAAAAGAGGCACGTTGTTTAATCTCAGACGTAGCTAATTACGCAGGGATTGTGGAGGACAAGGCTGTTTAATGACAGCGAAGAGAATCTTCAGGTGAGAGAAAACTTCCAGGAGTATGCTGGGGGAAATACATAGAGCCAAGATGTTCTGCTCCCCACCTTCCACACCCTCAGTCTGGTCCCCAGTTTGTGGGAGTAGAATCATAGAATCATAGAATTTCCCAGGCCGGAAGGGACCTCCAAAGGTCATCTAGTCCGACCTCCCCGCAGTCAGCAGGGACACCCCCAACTAGACCAGGTTGCCCAGGGCCTTGTCGAGCCTCACCTTGAATATCTCCAGGGATGGGGCCTCAACCACCTCCCTGGGCAACCTGTTCCAGTGCTCCACCACCCGCACAGTGAAGAACCCTCTCCTCATCTCCAGTCTAAATCTGTTCCCCTCCAGCTTGAAGCCATTGCCCCTCGTCCTGTCACTGCAGGCCTTTCTAAACAGGTTCTCCCCAGCCTTCCTGTAGGCCCCCTCAGGTACTGGAAGGCTGCTATTAGGTCTCCCCGGAGCCTCCTTTTCTCCAGGCTGAACAACCCCAGCTCCCTCAGCCTGTCCTTGTAGCAGAGGTGCTCCATCCCCCTGATCATCCTTGTGGCCCTCCTCTGGACCCTCTCCATCAGGTCCATGTCCTTCTTATACTGAGGGCTCCAGACCTGCACACAATACTCCGGGTGAGGTCTCACCAGAGCAGAGTAAAGTGGCAGAATCCCCTCTCTGGACCTGCTGGCAACGCATCTTTTGATGCAGCCCAGGATGTGATTGGCCTTCTGGGCTGCAGGTGCCCACTGCCTGCTCATGTCCAGCTTCTCATCCACCAGAACCCCCAAGTCCCTTTCCTCAGGGCTGCTTTCTAATACCTCACCCCCAAGCCTGTACTGATGGTGAGGATTGTTCTGGCCCAGGTGCAGAACCTTGCATTTGCTCTTGTTGAACCTCATGAGGTTCACCTGGGCCCACCTCTCCAGCCTGTCCAGGTCCTTTTGGATGACATCCCATCCCTCTGGTGTATTGACAACACCACACAGCTTGGTAGAAACGCTATTCTGGCAGAAATCAGATAAAGATCGGTGTATCGACAACACCACACAGCTTGGTAGAAATGCTATTCTGGCAGAAATCAGATAAAGGTGAACCTGCAGATTAAGTTTCTTCATTAATTACTTCTCCAAGGCTGTCCATAGTACTCTTAGTCTCCCTAATGATTTTCCTAAGCTTTTCTGAGAGGTCTTCTGAAGTTTCTTGTTGACATGCTGCCTTGTTACAACTGCTTCCTGAAGGCTCATGAGCCTTTTCTCTTTGCCTCTTAAATTGCATCTTGATTTTCTGCTCTCCGAAGAGGAGAAGATAGCAGGCTGGTGCAGTTTTCTCTCTCTCTCTCTCTCTCTTGTTCTCAAAGTAGCCCATTACCAAACGATATTAATACAATGCCTTTTTCATGTAGGAGCAGATAAAGCATTTCCAGGGTGCCCAGGTTACATTATTCACACGTTTTACAAGGTGTGCAGGTGACATGATTCCTGTCAGAAAATGGCATTGAGGCACTATCCCTTTGCAATTCTAATTTTCCTCCACAGAGCAAAAACCATATGGCAAAATGAAAAGGGTAAAAAAAAAGATCAGAGATTTGTATTGTGGGTCTGAATCAGTATTTTTTTTTTTTTCATTTGGTTTCAATGCAGCAGTGTGCTGCCCCCAATTTCTTCATTCATCAATGCAGATGCCATTGAATGGGGGAGAAAAACTGTTTCATGCACACAGTTGCCACAGGACTCTATGAAATAGAGGAAAATGAATGCAGAATTTAGGAGTGTAGAATTTAGAACAGCAAAGTGGCACCGTTCCTAACCCATGTCAAGCACTCCTCGCCGAAGACATGGCAGACAAAACAAGCTGTTCTTTGTAATCCTCAAAGAAAATACTATGTTAAATATCAGGCAGTAGCAGAAATGTTTGGCATGTGTTTCTGCTTGACAGTAACTAAGCATTTCTTAGCATATTTAAGTGAATTATGTTGCAGATGGTAAGGTCATTGTAACTTTTTTTTTTTTCCTGAAGGTGCACACACAAGCACACCTGACAGGTTTATAAATGAGTTTTCAAGGAGGAAACTGCCCAAACCAGAAAGGGAGGCAGCTTGGGCAATAATGTCTGACAAAGCAATATAGTCAGTCAATAAAGGACTAAAACTGATTATATTAGGTTTTAGTGCTGAGCAATTTGCTGCCTCATATTGATGCTTATGCCTTAAACAATACTTTTTCCACGCCAAAACTTTTCCTCCACAGTTTAAAGAGAAGTGGTCTTTGCATTTTAAATGCAAATATCAATGTCTGTGGATGGTTTTGGTTTCTTTTCTAAAATTATAGAGACAGCCTAGTGTGAGGTCCTACAAAAAGATAAATCTGTGCTTAATAACTCATTTCTCCTCCTCTCCCTCCCCATCTTGGCCTGTGAGTGCAGAACTGAGGGAATGTACAATGAAGTCCCTTTGTAGGAACACAGTTAGGAAAAAACAGAGTGAGGTCACAGTTATTAAAGACCATTCTAATATCCCTGCCTAAAGCTTACAGTTTGCTTGGTTACAATATCATTCAGACTGAGAGGGGGGAAAAAAAATCCTGACAATTTGTCCACTGCCTGGTAAAACTTGAAATGTGAATGAAAATTCTCTTCCCCCTGGTTGCAGGCAGAGTTCATTCTCTCAAATCAATTAAAAATGTATTCTTCTGTGGTTGACTAAAAGCATTTCTCTGTGTCCTGCATGTTCTGGCTATATTTTTTTCTTTTTTCAGTTATATTTCTTAGTTTTTTTATGTAGTTCCAGCTTGGACACTTAGGATATGGGTGCGATTCTTCTTGTTTGTCTTCAGCCACCAAACAATTAGATGTTCAGATCAGAGTTATCTGATTTCTGTAAAGTGGAGAGATATGGAGTCAGGTACCTCTGCAGTTCATCCTGTAGTAAGGGAATAATCTGAGATAGTTTGTTGTCAAAGGAAGCCTGATTTAAGGAATCTGGGTAGTTATCTTAATGCTGAAATTTGCTGAGAGGAATCCTAACTACTTTTACTGCTGCTTCTGAGCTTAATGTTTATTTGAAATATGCTTTCCCCTTTTAGTACAGATGGCCAGCATAGAACAGGTATAATTTAGAGTGAAACAGCCCCGTATAGTACTATTGTGTGTTAATTGGGTAATTTGTATATAATGCTTGGAGGTCAAGGTCAGATTGGAGCAACGTTAAGCACTTTGTAAACGTAAAGACACTGCACATTTCTCTGAAGGCTCAGCTGTATGCCTGTATTCTACAGCTAACCCAGCATGACTGGTGCCCAGTTAAAGAAATAAGACCCCTATGTTTTAGCCTGCACCCATAGAATTATGGAATGGTTTGGGTTGGAAGGGACCTGAAAGATCATCTAGTCCCACCTCCCAGGTTGCTCAAAGCCCTGTCCAACCTGACCTTGAACCCCTCCAGGGATGGGGCAGCCACAGCTTCTCTGGGAAACCTGGGCCAGGGTCTCCCCATTGGCTAATTAGCTACTAATTCTTGCTAAGTTTTTGTGTACAGTTATTTTCCTTAAATGCAAACGCCTCTGTATAGACAATAACATCGAGGAGATAAGAGGACTGGAGAAGTGTCATAGTCTGACTCATCTTAGTTTGGCACACAACAGACTCATTGCAATCAGTGGCCTCAAGAACTTACCTATCAAAATACTCAATCTGGTAAGAAAGAAATAATTCTAGTTGATTTCCTACCTGTCTTTTATCAATATATTAATGCCTTAATAAATGTAATTAAATTAAATGTAATTACATAACAAGTTTGGAGACTATGTGTAACACTGGACACGCAATCATAGAATCCCAGGTTGGAAGGGACCTCAAGGATCATCTGCTCCAACCTTTCTTGGCAAAAGCACGGTCTAGACAAGCTGGATCTTGAAAGTGTCCAATGTTGAGGAAATCCACCACTTCCCTGGGGAGATTATTCCGATGGATGATTGTTCTTAGGGTGAAAAATTTTCCTTTTGTGTCCAGTTGAAATCTCCCCATTACCCCCTGTATTTTCCATGTGACTCCTTGTAAAAAGGGGGTCTCCATCTTCTTTGTAGCCACACTTTAAATACCAGAACATGGTGATATGGTCTTACCTAAGCCTTCTATTGAGAAAAGCCTTCTTTTCTCAAGGTGGAACAAACCCAATTCTCTCAGCCTTTACTCTTATGGCAGACTTCCTAGAACTTTGATTTACTAATACAGGATCCACCTAAACATGAGGAGGAACTTCTTTACTGTGAGACTGGTGGAGCACTGGAACAGGCTGCCCAGAGAGGTGGTGGAGTCCCCTTCTCTGGAGACATTCAAAACCCAACTGGACAAGATCCTGTGCAACCTGCTCTAGGTAGACCCACTTCGGTGGGGGGTTGGACTTCATGATCTCCAGAGGTCCCTTCCAACCCCATATGATTCTATGATTCTATATAGGTTAGAAGCGATCTGGGAAGGTCATCTGAGGCAGCTTCCTTCTCAAAGCAGAGCCATCTTCAGTGGAGGCTGCTCAGCACCCCTTGTCCAGCTGGGTTTGAATTTCTCTGTAGATACTTTGCATTTGCTTTGGGTACGTTTTGTTACTGCTTAGGTGATGCATCAGAAGTTACAGCTTCCTTCTCAAAGCAGAGCCATCTTCAGTAGAGGGTGCTCAGCATCTTGTCCAGCTGGGGTTTGAATTTCTCTGTAGATACTTTGCATTTGCTTTGGGTACGTTTTGTTACTGCTTAGGTGATGCATCAGAAGTTACATGCTCTGCAGGTCCCACAATACAAACAACGAAGATTTGTTTTTAAAAAGTACATTTCTTCATAAAATTCTCTTCATGGTAGCAGTGGGCTGGGGCAGGAGAGGGAAAAGCAAGGACAGTGAAGCCCCCGTTCATTTTAGAAAACAAGCGGTACGTTTTGTTACTGCTTAGGTGATGCATCAGAAGTTACATGCTCTGCAGGTCCCACAATACAAACAACAAAGATTTATTTTTAAAAAGTATATTTCTTCATAAAGTTGTCTTCATGGTAGCAGTGGGCTGGGGCAGGAGAGGGAAAGGCAAGGACTGTGAAGCCTGCGTTCATTTTAGAAAACAAGTCAAATTTAATATGCAAATCTGATATATATCATTAAAGGATTTTTGTTTAATTTTTAATGATTTTCTAATGAGATTGGAAGCGCTATATTGCCAGCTTTGCATCAAGATATCTAGGATATATGTATTTAAATGCAGCATTTCTAGATGCTATAGTGGGATTTATTGTATCTGGCTTCAGATTTCTGCAGTGTGGACAACTGCAGGTGAGCCAGTTGTTCTCTGCAGCCTCAAAAGTCAGTGGAGAGAAATGGATACTTAAAATATTTCATTATTGTGACTGAGCTGCTGAGAGTTACATTAACACAAGATGCATCAGGCCTTGAAAGCTCCAGTTTCTCTCTTGGTTATGAAGATGGCCAAGGGTAACTAACCAAGATATGGACCTTTCTGTCAATGTCTCAGCTTGTTTGCAGGCATCTTACTCTTTCACAGGTCTTGGGAAGGCATTTATCTTGGTTTTCTTCAGTTCTGTGTTTGTAAAATGTCCTTAATAATACCAACACTGCCTTTTGCATCATTTTGAGATAATTTGAGAGCCATCAGTATAGAGGTTGCGCAGACACACAAGCAAAAAGTATATTTAATGCAATTTAGGTAGTATAAAATACAACAGGCTACTTCTTAGTAGGTTTTACTTTTTAATAACGGTTTTAAAAAATATTTAATGGGATTTTTAAAATGAGTACCAAAAACCTATACATAGAAATATGTTCATATTTGCTACAGTAGTTTTAAGCACCTACATAAATATTTTAGGGAGAGTGAATGAATCCTTTATCAAGAGTAGAAATATTCTTTTCCAATCCTTTTAAAATTTTAAAGATTTTACTTCTGGTCTGGAGTAATTGGTATAGAAAAGAGTAACTAAGGTCTGTACCCATCAAGGCCTGATGGGCCCCTGTACTTATTACTGCTTCGATATTCAGGAAAGGTATTCACATTTCAAAGTGGACCTTAGTATGTTTTGAATAATATATTCAAACAGTTTCAATAACATATTTTTAATATATTTCAGATATATAATACCTCGGGTAGCTGGCAGTCATGCCCTTAGTGGCAATTAAACTGAATTTTGTCTCATTTTTAGCGGATAAGATTAACTCGGATATTGGCAAAATCCTGTCTAAAAGTTCTGAAATGAGCTAGAGGAGTGTGACAGTGTGAGCTGACAGGAAGATCTTTTCTCTAAAAGCTTTCTTGGGGGTGAACTACAGCGAGTCCCTGAACCATTGTGTGCTCTGATTTCCTCATCTGTTAAAAGGCCTGGTAATAATTCTGTTACTAACGGTTATCTCTGCTCCGGAAAATGTTTTGGAGGTTGTGTTAACAGCTAAGCCTTATTAATACCAACGCGTCCTCCAGTTAGGGTTCTAACATGCTGATACCATTATTTATATGACTGCTTGTCTTTTTTAATTAGCAAAGTAGATAGTCATATGGAAATTATGTAAATAGACAGATTTTAGCCTAGCGTTTTCTTTTACTAATTAGAATAAAATGCAGGGTTGGTTTTTTTGTTTTTTTTTTCATGGGAGCAGCCATCCCCTCTCTTCCCATTGATTCAGCTTTCTTTTCCATTTTCCCTTGAGCTTTTTAGGTTGAAAGACTCGTAAGGTCTGAAGTTTGGAAGAAAGGCTTCAAAAACTGTAAATACTGCCTAGTTATACCAAAAAGCCTTTATTCTGCTTATGTTTGCAAAAAAAAAAAAATAAGAAGTGCAGCTCTAATGAACTGGACTCTTAGGAATTTTGTGCTTTGCAAAAAAAGGGATCTCTGCACAAATCCCTTTTGTTCTCAGAATTTTATGTGCACCTCTTGCATAGTGTTTTGCAACTAGAGCTCTAAGCTGTATCCTATTAGAGGTGTAACGAAGAACAGGAAGAGCCTCCACGCTATTAATAACCTAATTAAACATTTAAAAGTCAGGAAAAAATGTCAAGGACAGACAACTGGATTAACATTAGAGTCAGCTGGCTTATTTATTTCCATAGTTCCTAAATATTTATTAATAGAATATGAGGCTTCTGAGCTTTCAGCACAAGGTGATGCTGATGGAAAAATCTAACTCGCAAGGTTATACAGAAAGGATCATGTTGAGAGGCCATCTGGGTATGTGTGACCACTGGGACAAAGATGAGTGCAGAACCAAACGTGTTATACCTGTTTGGAGTTTGTAGCAGAAATGAGTATATGATTTGTGAGGCCCTGAGAAACGAAGCCATCTGGTGTCCAGTGAGAAATGTAGGTCTTCTGCCTTCTACCTTGTTTGGAAGGAATGTAAAACACTGGTTGGTTCTGAATTTTCAACAGCTTGGCTCGTTTGTTGTGTTAGAGTCTGGATGAACTTACAGCAAGGTGGGTTTGTGGGGTTTTTTTGAACATTTCTCTGCGTGCTGTCACTGACAGTAAATAAAATCTGCCTTCATTTAGTGTGCATTAGGATGAACTTGTGTATCCTAGAGATATTTTTATAGACTGTCTGCAGTCCAAAGAAGACAGTACTCTATTGTTCTACCTTAATATTGTCATTATTTATTCCGTAATCATAAGTGTAAATATATCCATGATTACAGAGGGAAATTCTATGTATTTATGTATATATATTCTATACTTTTATGTGCATATCTATTGTCTATATTTTGAGTTGGATAGAGACAGGAGTATCCTTTAGCTGGTATCAGCTTTAAAAGAATATTAGAGCTCTTTTTATTGCTGTTGTCTCTTGCAGCTCTTCAAGGTGAGTTGAAGACAAGCTAATCAGAAGGTAGTTGATTCTTTTTTCCTTGAGCAGTGAGGAAAGCTGTAATATGTCTTTTCAAGATGAAGATGGGGCTAATTCATAACAGGCCTCTTTGTAATAGGATTCTCAATAAGAAAGTGAACTCCATTCTTCCTCAGGAATGCTGGTTTCTGTCTGTAGAACTTTATCAACAGTTTTTATGCTTTCATTTCTTAAGTGAACTCCATTCTTCCTCAGGAATGCTGTTTTCCATCTGTAGAACTTTATCAACACTTCTTATGCTTTCATTTCTTCTCAGAGCTCTTTTTATTGCTGTTGTCTCTTGCAGCTCTTCAAGGTGAGTTGAAGACAAGCTAATCAGAAGGTAGTTGATTCTTTTTTCCTTGAGCAGTGAGGAAAGCTGTAATATGTCTTTTCAAGATGAAGATGGGGCTAATTCATAACAGGCCTCTTTGTAATAGGATTCTCAATAAGAAAGTGAACTCCATTCTTCCTCAGGAATGCTGGTTTCTGTCTGTAGAACTTTATCAACAGTTTTTATGCTTTCATTTCTTAGAGCTCTAACCAGATTGAGAAGATAACTGGGCTGGACAGCTTGAAAACTCTACAGAAGCTGGACCTATCTAGCAATAAAATATCTAGTCTAGAAGGCTTGGAGGAACATGATCTACTAGAGGTGATTGACCTAGAGGATAACCAGGTAGCGTAGTTAATATTGATCTCAGCTTTTTTCTAAGAATGCATAATTTATATATTTTTTTTCTAAAATTCAATCCCTTTAAGGCTTAATCAAAAAATCTTACAGCACTGCAAGGAATGAATATTAGAAAAGATGACATTTTTTTCCTTTGGTATTTCACTCCAGTACTGCTTCACATGTTGATTGATGGTGTACTCCTCGGGCCTTATTTAATATCTCTAGATGGGTTTATCTTGATGTAGGTATCACTTCTGTGGTATTTAGTGCTCACATCCATAAAGAACTAACAGTGCTCCCTTGAGTGGATAAGACAGGGATGAGTATGCAGCTTTTTCAGCTTGATTATTCTTGAGGATCTTTACTTACATCACAGCTTTTCTACTGCCAGGCCTCAGGAGGGTTTGCTAATATCTCTCGGCCCAATTTTATGACCCCAGATTCTTCTGAGCTCTCAGCTGGAAACTTCCTGTGAGGCAGAACTGCATGTACTCTATTGTAAAGTGGCTTTTGTTATGCAGCAGAATTTTCACTGGAAGTACAAAGATACAATCCAAGTGATTTGTATTTGAATTTTGAAACCCAAGCCATATGTACATAATACTTTTGATGTTGAGCTTCCAGGGTCCTTAACTGAAAAGATCGTCAATTCATGAATCATTTTGACATCAGACAGATCTGCATGTGAAAAAAAAAAAATCTAAGAAAATAAGAAATAAAAATATAAACCAGGAATCGAACATTTTCTGTCCTTTTCCCCCGCTTGCAAGTTACATATGTAGGTTTGAACTCAAGACACTGTGAATTCTTTTTCTCACTGTGTTCAGGTTGACATTTAAAGGTACATCAATTGCACTAGGCAGGAAACCAGCTAATAGTATGGTTGCTATTAGCATTAATAACACCACTTCCATTGGCTCATATAGTTGCCACTGTTCTTTACGGCACGCAAAAGCTATTAACTTTACCTCATCAAAATTTGCCTCTTTTAATGATGTTATTGAAACTGGTTAATGAGTCACCATTTTTTTTTTGAACGTTTCCTTCTGAAGAATAATTTGAAGAGAATTTTAAGTAATTAACACAGAAAGATCTGAGTTACTTCAGCTCGCTACCACCCAGAATGATCTTAAAAGCTTGGTTTTTCAAAAATGGGCACAATAGGTTTATCTGCAAACCATGACTCTCATATATATGTTGAGTGATTTTTTTAAAAGTTGACAGTTGGCATTCTGTGATTTATTTAGGAAAACCCATCCAACCGGCATCTAACTTGATCAAAACTGTTCCACAGTGGGCTTCTTGTTATCTCAGAATGAATATTGGGTAGGCTATAGTTGAGATTTATGTTTTTAGACACTTTACATAAGCTGAGTGTAAGTGAGGGCTAGAATCTGAAGTCTTTTGGGTTCAGTCTTTCAGCAGCGGAGGAAAGGAGGTTGTAGAGAGGCAGGTGTTGGCCTCTTCTCCCAAAGGACGAATGACAAGACCAGAGGAAATGGTCTGAAGTTGGGGCAGGGGAGGTTTAGATTAGATATTAGAAAGAATGACTTTACTGAGAGAGTGGTCAGGCACTGGAACAGCCTGCCCAGGGAGGTGGTGGAGTCACCATCCCTGGAGGTATTTAAGAAACGTATAGACATGGCTCTTCAGGGCATGCTCTAGTGCCCAAGGTTATTGGTTTATGGCGAGGTGTTGAGTGTGGGGTTTAGTTGGTGGGTGTGGTGTTTTTGGTGGGCGTTTGGTGTGGTGTGGTGTGTTTTTTTGGTTTTTTTTGTTTGTTTGTTTGTTTTTTTGTGGTTGGACTCGATGATCTCAGAGGTGCCTTCCAACCACTAAGATTCTGTGATTCTGTGAAAACCAGGTATCCCGACGAGGCAATTCATCCCAGCCTACCACAGACGGGTTGACCTCTGGAACTGCCTCTCCCCACTGATTATAAAGTGAATTTAAGTGACTGACTCGGGCTAATTTAACAGATGGCTAAAATGGAGCAACGTGAATTCCATTGGACCCATTTTGTTTTAATTGAGAGCCTCACAGCTGTTCGCTCGGGGTCTAGCATGACTTTGACTAATCCCATGTTAACTTCTAATGCTTATCTGATGTGCCTGAGTGCAGCCAGGTGGGGTTGCCTTTGTTGATGGAGGAGACTTTTGGTGACCAGGTTATTGGACGAGGGAAAGGCTGTCGATATAGTATACCTGGACTTCCAAAAAGCATTTGATACGGTCCCTCACACAAATCTAGTGGAAAAACTGGCTTCGCACGGAGTGGATGATCACACGATCTGTTGGATCAAGCACTGGCTGACTGGAAGGTCCCAAAGAGTTGTACTCAATGGATTTACGTCCAGCTGGCGGCCGGTCACTCGTGGTGTCCCTCAGGGCTCAGTGCTAGGAACATTT